ACATCAAAAATTAATGATGTACTGTATAGTGACTAACATAATTTTAAAAAAGGAAGAAAGAGTCAATGGGTAAGTGTGATTTTACTAATCTGATCAAAATTCCCAATAAAAGTGCCTGTCAACAACGCACACTTCATGAAAATGTCTGCAAGGATTCTGAGCACCATGGCTCATGATGCATATCATACTTGGGCTCTCCATAGTGTTTATAGGGTTGGATTACAATACTCCACATTTATATAGATGACGGTAGAGTTTACATAATGTCCTTATCCTCATCCTATTAATAGTCAACATAGATCTTACACCAAGAGTTAATGAGTGAAACCACATTTGTAAATCTAATGACTAATTATCTGACACATTATTTTACTTATTTATTTTTAACAACTCCACTACTAGAATGTAAACAGTATGAAGGCAGGGGTTTTTGTCTGTTTGGCTTACTGTTTTATTCTGGGCACTCAGGAGAAGTGCCTTTTTTTGACATATAGTATATGCTTCCTAGATGTTTACTTAATATATTTAATTCTTTTTTAGCAGCTTACTTAAAGTCAAAGATACTGGATTTTTTTATGTAGGTCATCTGATTGTGAAGTCTGGATATTTAGTCACTCTGCTAAACTAACTAACAAAACAAAACAAGACAATCCTTAATATCCACAGAATAAATGTATCTGGACCCTAAAATTTTCTTACCCTGTTTTGACTAAAACTTGCAGATTAGGTTGGGAGCAATACAATTGATTGTATTGTAAATTATTCTACCTGGCCCACAAACACCCTGCAACAAATGGCCATTTTTTAAAAATTTATTTTCAGCATAACAGTATTCATTGTTTTTGCACCACACCCAGTGCTCCATGCAATCCATGCCCTCTCTAATACCCACCACCTGGTTCCCCCAACCTCCCATCCCTTGCCCCTTCAAACCCTTCAGATTGTTTTTCAGAGTCCATAGTCTCTCATGGTTCACCTCCCCTTCCAATTTCCCCCAACTCCCTTTTCCTCTCTAACTCCCCTTGGGTGGTATAGTAAGCAATATCTTATTTTGTTTAGGGCTTTGAAAATTAATAGGGTCTCTCTAAAAATCAATTTGGCACAATTGTGCGAGGATTATTTACTGTTTATACATTTTTTAAAAATTTTTAAATTTATTTTCAGCGTAACAGTATTCATTGTTTTTGCACCACACCCAGTGCTCCATGCAATCCGTGCCCTCTCCAATACCCACCACCTGGTTCCCCCAACCTCCCACCCCCAACCCCTTCAAAACCCTCAGATGGTTTTTCAGAGTCCATAGTCTCTCACGGTTCACCTCCCCTTCCAACAAATGACCATTTTTACTTTCCTTTGATTTGTTTTAATTTAGTATGACTTTGCCCCATCCTTTGGTTTTAATCTTCTAGTGATATAGAAATATCTTGACCCAAAATATTTTTTCCTCTTTTACGAGGGGAACAAAGCACTACTTAAAAAAAAAAAAAAAATCAAACCTAATGCTTTTGTCTTCTGGCTTGCTTTATAGTTGCTGATTTTCACATTTACTTATAGTTTCCTTTGCTTCTCCACCTTTTCTTTGTAGTCTGTTGTTTTCTGGCTTTTTAAAGGATAGATTGGAAAGCTGCCTTTATGTTTAAAAAACTATACTTTTCAAAAATTCTCAGTATCAGAAACAGAGTAGAAGTTATTTATTCCATCCTGTCTAATGTGGAGTAATTGGCAGATTTTTATTTACACTCCACTCATCAATCCTCCAACTCCTCCTCAGTTTTTGTTAACATAACAGCAAATTACAGACCCAGATTACAAAGTTAATTCTTTATATTATACATTTTCTCCTTAAGTAATTATTTTTATGTTAACCTTCTCTTTTTATAACATATTTATAGCAATAATTTAGCATTAACACCGTGTTGAATTAGTTTCCATGCTCACTGCAGGTCTTTTCATTCCATATATCTTTGTTCTAGATTTCCTTATTTTGATTCATTGCTTGGTCAATTGCTCTTTGAATGATTTATTAGAAGCAGGGCATGTGGGAGCCCCTGGATCCTGAGAATGTCTTTCTGATGTATTTGCACAAGAACAACAACTTGGCTGATAAAGAATTTGTGGGTTATAACATTTTCTCTTCAAAAATCCTCTAGGCTTAACTGCATTGTCTGTTGCCCTTTCCGAGATGGAGGGATCTGAGAAGGGCCAGGCAGAGATCTGTTAGACTGAGAATGGCTTTTCTGCTCCTGTGACCCTTTAGCTTAACTCTTTTTAGTAAAACTTAATACTGAATACAGTAATTTGAAATACAGTGTGTAGCTTTTCCCTTGCCAGACGAAAACAACACGCTGAGTGCCCAGCTCTCAACAACATTTCCTCTCTGTTCCTGTGAGGCCAATGGCATATTCAAGATCCCTGTCATAAGCATGCACCCAATCCCCTTAATTTCTTTCCTGCAAATCTTAGTTCCAGAACAAGAGCACACATAGTGTGGGATCGAAGGCGTGAGTAATTCAGCGATCCTTGTTCATCTCGAAGCAATAGTAGAAACTGCTTCCTAGATGAGGTAGCTTTGGGGTAGGATGACTTTTTTTCCCAAAGGCAAAACTCCGTGTCTTGAGGAGATAGTCCACTGTGTGATGTTTGGGAAGCAAAACTTCTCACGGTCCTCCTATGTTACCAGCTGATCTACCAAGGGCCAACCATGCTTGTGTTCGGCAAATTCCGCCTGAGGTCCATTTCTCAATTTCTTGGGTTCTACAGACTTGGTCTCTTGCTGGGTTTTTTTTTTTGTTTTTTTTTTTTTTAGAGTCTTGGTAAGAATGTGACAGAGAGTGAATTGAGTGCAGCTGCTACTCTTCTTCACAGCATGCAAACCCAAAAGCACCTCTTGACATGTTGCCAAGAGCAGGGAAAGTCACACCTTCTCAGAGTTGTGCTCAGCCAATAAACTGGCCAGTCTGGGATGCAGAGAACCAGGAACAAGATGGGCCCCCAGATGCTTTCTGCTCATCTTTATGTCTTCCTCCTCAATACATCAGAGTGTTTCGTGCAGAGGGAAGACCAGATGGACAGATGGAAGGCAGTCTGGCGGCTTCTCTTTGTAGTTTTAAACTCTCTGTGAGGAACGTTGCTTGAGCAAGTAATAAATGCAGAACTGAAATACCAATGTGGAATTTAAATGGCTCTGTGGACATTTAAAATGTTAATTAGTTCCTCAATCCAGGTTTCTCGTAAGGTAATGACTTCCACTGACAGACTAAACTCTCCATCTTGGCCACCAGAGCCTACAGAGGCTACACACTTCACCAGATCTTGCTTTTGTCTCAGCATTTCCTTCTCCAGTGAGCTTCTCACTTCTCCAGAAATACTGTGAAACATATTCCCCTATGTTACGAAATTACCAGATTACCCTATGTTACCAGATTTCCCTACGTTATGAAAGCTCTTGGAGGGCACCTACTTTATAACCTTAATATGATTTATACAGCTTAGCATATGGCATTGTTTGTTATATATTTGTTGAATGAAATATAGCAACCTGAGATATGTCCACAAAAGTATTCTAGATAGAAAATACTTGTGTCATAAAAGGAACTAAAGATACTGAACTTTCAGAAATAAGATCAGATGGTACGTTTGAACAGAGGGGAGGTAGATGGTAAGAAAGATCTTATGGAACTAAAAGAATGCTGCCCAAGAAGGCAATTGCATTGGTTCTCTTGGGACCTAAGAGTCTGGACTAACGGCAATACATAGAAGCTATAATAAGAGACATAGTTCAAGCAGCACAATAAAAGGACTTCTTAGAACTACAGCCACCCCAGAGATCAGTAAAGTTACCATGTAAAGGAGTAAGTTCTCTGTCACTGGAGTTATTCAGGAATATGCACTAATACCAGTTAAGTGTGATATTGTAAAATTGATTGTTTTATGTGGAGGGGGAGGGAAATAGGTATATGGTGACCTTTTAGATCTTTTCCAGCTCTATGCTTTTGTGATGTTATGACTGGCATCCCATCTTGACCAAAGAAATACTTGACATTAAAAAAGGTTACCCCGTCTTTGGGAGAAGAAAACATTTTCTAATGTGACTATTGGTAATAACAAAAGAGTTAACATTCACTGATTAACTACCACATGTTTAGTTCATTCATAAATAATAATCAACAGGTATTATTCTGTAGGTGAGGAAATTGATCTTCAGGTAGGCATGTGATTTGCCCAGAGGTAATCTGAAAGAACTTTTTATCTTTTATAATTTTTATTTATTTATTTTTAGAGAGAGTATGTGCATGCACCGGTGGGTATGTGGTAGGGGAGGTGGGTAGGAGGGGCAGAGGGAGAGGCAGAGAAAGAATCCCACCCAGGCTCCACACCCAGCATGGGGCTCAATTCCACAATCCTCAGGTCATGACCTGAGCTAAAGTCAGGAGTTGGACGCTCAACTGACTGAGCCACCCAGGCACTGCAGAGCTTTTATCTTTGAATACTGAGGTCTGCAAATTTTTTCTGTAAAGGGTCATATAGTAAATATTTTAGGCTTTATGTGGCATAACGTCTTTGTCTCAACTACTCAACTTGAGACACCTGGGTGGCTCAGTTTGTTAGCCATCTGCCTTCGGCTTGGTCATGATCCCAGGATTCTGGAATCAAGTCGCACATCGGGCTCATCACCCAGTGGAGAGTCTGCTTCTCTATCTGCCTGCCACTCCTCTGCTTGTGCTCTCTCTCTCTCTCTGATAATAAATAAATAAAATCTTTTAAAAAATAAACGACTCAACTATACTGTTATAGCATCAAAGCAACCTTAGACTATATAAATGAATAGGCATTGCTGTATTAAAAAAAGTTTACACACACACACACACACACACACACACACAGAGAGAGAGAGAGAGAGAGAGGGGCATGGGGCTGGATTTGATCCCCATGCTACTTTTCATTTGAGAACAGGAAAATACACACAAAGCAAGAAATGACCTCCATGTGGTCATACTTACTCCATTTGCTTTGCTGAGTGCCTGGAAGTAGATGCTGTAGCTTTTCAGAGGGGAAAGAGGAGGGTTCCAGTATCCATTGTATGTCTTATTGTCACCCACTGTAAATGGCTGGGTGACAGGCAGGTTGGCGGGCTTCAATTCAGCGGCAAAGTAGTGTAGAGAATCAAGGCTGGAGGCATTCCTATAGCTCACAGGCACCGAAAAGCACTCAATGATGTCAGCTGCCCTTCGTGACTTCTGAAGTCGCTCTTCCTTGACAACCAGCTGATAAACACTGGACAGGAAAGAGAGGAAGATGAGCAACTATCCAGAAGGATGGACTTGTTATTTATCACCACTTCTGTATACAACTAAACCTCCCTCCTAAGATTAAGAATGAATAAACCCACTGCTTTCTAGAAACCCATCTCCATTTAGATGTCCCAAGGCCAGCTCATGCTGGATATATCCAAAACACAGCATGGTCCCAAGCCCAACAAATCTGCCTCCTCCTTCTACATTTTTTCTTTAGAAAAGGGTAGCGTTGCCCATCAAGTGATGAGATCTCGAGTCTGGGGCTCATCCTCAATTCCTACCTCTTTGGATATCACTCTGCACTTACCATCAAAAAGCCCTGTTGACATCTGCAATCTGTACCTGCCCTTTTCCCTTCTTTCCCTTCACTGAAAATGCTGAGGTTGGGTACTTCCCTACCTCTTACCTGGATTCAACTTGTCTCTTTGCCTCTAACTTATTTATCAACTAGCCAACTCATTGACCTTCCTGAATATAATACTGTCCCTCTTCAAGCACTCTCATAAGTTCCCCATTAACTGAATGATATAATCTAAACTCCTCATCCTGGCACTGGGGACACTTGTGCATGGCTTCCTGTCTTTTGGAAACTCTTGGGTTAGTCCCTGATTCTAGCTGCTCCAGACCCCCTGCTATTGCACAAACATCCTGTGGATCCCACCCCATGCCATCATCAGTTCATACTTCCTCCATCTGCAGTGCCCTCTACTTCTGCTGGTGGAAGCCCTTCCCTAAAGGCTGATTCTATCTTTCATCTCCTCAATGAACTCCATCTAGACCCTCCCAATCTGAATGAGTCTTCTTCCTTAGTTTCCCTACAATTCATTAATGGATATCTTCTTGGGATTACAGTAATATGTACATGGAACTACGGTTTCTCTGGCTAGGCTGTGACCTCTTGGACAGTGGGAGTTGTGGTTTAGTTATCTCTGCATCACTCCCTCCACCATATACTGCTGAACAGGCTGCCTGATACCCATACAGTGATCGGTGAATACTTGTTCAAGTGAACCAAACAAAGCTGAAAGCAGGCATGAAACCAAATATGACTGGATACAAAATCCCTAATTAAGATAAACAGTAAATACTCTGAATTCCTGTCTAGTGATCTTGTGCCATTCCTTTCAACTTAGAAGTAAGTAAGGAGTGCTCGCTTCGGCAGCACACATACTAAAATTGGAAGTAAGTAAGGAGGTACTAGTGTGTGAAGAGATGACCAAGCCTTTATTCAACACCAACTATATGCCAAATGTGTAGACTTTTTTAATAAAAGTTATCCTAATGTTTGTGCATTTGGATAGCATTTTACTACCTCCTTGTAGTAATGTAGTAATGTAGTTATGTACACATTGTACATTTATTTTCTCACAGTTTTGCAGGATATAAGTCCAAGATCACAGTGTCAACAGGGATGGTTCCAAGAAGTGCTTTTTTAAAAAAAAAAAAAAGATTTTATTTATTTATTTGAGAGAGAGAGAGAGAAGAAGAAGAAGACGACGACGACGATGACGATAACGACTATCCACTGAGCAGAGAGCCTAATGCAGGGCTCAATCTCAGGACCCTGAGATCATGACCAGAACCAAAAGCAGATGCTTAACCGATCGAACCACCTAGGTGCCCTGAATGAATGTTCCTCTTTTAGAAGAACTTTATTGCATAGATCTTGGGACTCATGCCCTAAGACAAAAGATCAATTTCCCAAAGAGTGCCCCCAGGAAACTTTTGTGAATTAATGAGGTGATTGCAGCAGTGGCCCCAAACCAATCATTTAAAGATGACATAGTGAGATAGCACATGGTTTATGAAGATGGAATATGGTAAGGACTACCATCTTTCAATTAGGCTGTCCCTCTAGAGCTATTTGGTTAAGAAGCACAACTTGGGCAAAGACAGAGGCACAGGACAATTTGAATTAAAAATAAAAGGGTATGGAGGGACTGACCCAAGGAAACATGCCACACCCAACATGGCAAGTTTTCCCCTGAATCTCCTTAAGCATGGGGATCATCAGTAATGCAAATGGGAAAGAAACAGACATATGAATGTCTGCCACACTTAGAATGTGGTATCTGGGTTGAGGTGAGGAATGGTTTGGCAAGCATATGTACTGTTTGATGGGAACATCTGAATGAGAGCTCAGTGGCCCAGGAGGCATGTGAGTGGCATGTGAGTGAATATAGCCCATCTTTCTGGGAATGCAGACTACATCTGAGTGTGAGCAATGTCCAAATGAGCATCTGTAGGACTTGGGTGTCTAAAAATTGAGCAAACATATATACTCTTGGAATGAGTGGGTGTGATATCCAGGTGACTGTCACCTAGGTGTGTGCACACCTAAATGTGTGTGACATCATCTATATATGTTCATAAAACTGAAGTCAATAAACACCTAAATTAAATTAGGGCTTCAGTGTTCATTCCCTCCCCCTCAACCCTGGAGTCCTCAGTGACACAATCAGTTTGTTTTTCAGGACAGCTAAGCTCAAAACAATCTCTGAAAAACATCACAAAGACCCAAGAACCAAGCCTAGAGGTCACAAGGTGAGAGTGGAGGGGTGTCTATAACAGTTTTTGGACCCCCCAAATAGTTTACATGTAATAGCAGTCTTTAGTAAAACTTTGAATCTGGCTAGAGTGTTAAGGACTGCTTGTTGAGGGCTTATGTTTCATGGAACTCTAATCTATGAGGTAAAGAGCAAAAGGCAATGAAGAGTGAAGGAGCAACAGTCTCTTGGGTCCACCTGTGGGAGCTTGTAATAGCACCTACAAGATGGAACTGGGCTCTCCAGGCTATCCAGCCCTACAAGATGGAACTGGGCTCTGCAGCCTATCTAGCCCTCATATCCTCCTGACCAGGTTGGTAAAGCATGAACAGCCTCATCCCTAGGAACAGGGGTTGCAAAGATCTGTGAGTCCTTCCCTTGAGGCCCAGTCTATCCCTAACTACTCTTGGGTTAACCCTGTCCACGTGAGAAGACCTCTGTTTCCATTTCTTTCTTTCTTTCTTTTTTAAATTATGTTCAGTTAGCCAGAATATAGTACGTCATAAGTTTCTGCTGTAGTGCTCAGTGACTCATAGTTGCATATAATGCCCAGCGCTCATCACAACACATGCCCTCCTTAACACCCATCATCTGGTTACTCCATCCCCATATCCTCCTTCCCTCTGTAACCCTAAGTTTGTTTCCTGGAGTCCAGAGTCTCTCATGGCTTGTCTCCCTCTCTGATTTCTTCCCATTTAGTTCCCACCTCCCCCCATGGTCCTCTGCTCTATTCCTTATGTTCCACATATGAGTGAAACCATATGATAATTTTCTTTCTCTGCTTAACTTATTTCACTTAGCATAGTTCCCTCCAGTTCCATCCATGTTGATGCAAATGGTGGGTACTCATCTTTTCTGAAGGCTGAGTAATATTCCATTGTATATATGGACCACATCATCTTTATCTATTCATGTGTTGAAGGGCATCTTGGTTCCTTCCACAGTTTGACTATTGTGGACATTGCTGCTATGAACACTGGGGTGCATATGTTCTTTTCACCAAATCTGTATCTTTGCAGAAAATGTTTTCATTTCTAAGCCCAAAACTCTCATGCCACTCCTGACTCCTTCTGTCACCCTTGCCCTCTAAATTGAGAACCCAAACCCTTGGGAGCTTCACTGGGGCTGAATCTCATTGCTGGAATCGCTTTCTGTTGTCTTTGGCCCTACAATGATGGAATGGATCAAGAAGAATCACAAGACTGGCCTGAGCACTGCCCAGGACTGGCATGATATTCCACAAAAGGCTAGAGATGGAGGCAGAGCATGTTTCCAGGGGCCAGCCTGTGATCCTGACACCAATCTAACTATTGACGACTCAACTGCCAACTCAACCACACTCAGTAGCCAGATTACAGAAGATGCGGAGGCCGACAGCAGAGTGTCCTAGGTTTATCAAATTGCAGCAGAAGTAGAAAGCCAGACTTCTCATTTACAGTCCAGTATCCTTTATTTCTCTACCTTCCTTCTTTTACTAGAAGCCGACAAAATGTACAAAGGGCCTTTTGAGTATGTTTTACTTAGCGGCTTGAACTACTTAAATCTTTCCTACCCAGCTCCTTCTGAAATCACAAAGCCTAGCGAAGGATATATTTGAGGAGGGACTTGTTAAACTGTGCTGTCAACATACAGTTCACATACAATTGGGATGAATGTGCCAAAGTATAGCCAGCAACACCCTCAGGCCCATTGTGCCTGCAGCTTGTCCATTCAGAGGCAAAGCTGCAACCGCAGCCAGAAAACTATAAACCATTTGGTCATAAAAATCTTTCTGGCAGCAAATCCAGCCTCTCTCCAAGATCCGGAAACTCTGATGAAGGAGGAGGAAGGAAGAGATGGCACGTGCAAATTATGCAACTGTCCTTCCCCACTTTAGGCAGTGGGGGCAGGGGTGGGTGGGGCGGGGACAAGATAGTTTCTTTTTGTTTTGTTTCTTTATTCTGATCATCATTCTCTTGGAAATATACCTACCTAAGCTCTTTTCAGCATGCTGATAATGATAAAAATCATACCTAAATGAGAAGAACTCTCCAAAAGTCCTATCTCAAGTGCAAAAGAAGTCATTACAATAAACTATTCAGGAGCCTTTGTGGAGAGAAAGGATTTTTTTTTTTCTTTTTTAGTAGAAAAATCCTGATAGTATAAGAGGATCTTAAGATGCTCACCTCACGACATACAGCATTTATGCACCCATTTCCCCCTCCTGGGACACCCCCTCTACTTCTCCCAATGAGAAGACTGACATTTGTGACCATATTTTCTGTATAAGTTCTCCTGAGAGTCTCTTCTTGCAGGACCCTGAAAGCAGCTATACTCCAACAGGAAAGGCAGAGAGGAGTGTGTGCCTTCTTTCTTCTCCCTGGATTTTGCTTCCTCACTGAAGCTCACCTTCAAGGTCCACTGTTGACCTTTGTTGTTACGGTGACTGCCCCTA